AATCACATGATCATCTCACTAGATGCTGAAAAAGCCTTTGACAAAATCCAACACCCCTTCATGATAAAGGTCTTGGAGAGATCTGGGATAACAGGGACATACTTAAACATAATAAAAGCCATATACAGTAAACCAACAGCCAACATCAAACTAAATGGACAGAAACTCAACGCAATTCCTCTAAAATCAGGAACAAAACAAGGCTGTCCACTCTCTCCATACCTTTTCAACATGGTACTTGAAGTTCTAGCTATAGCCATACGACAACAAAGGGGGATCAAGGGGATACAAATTGGGAAGGAAGAAGTCAAACTTTCACTGTTTGCAGACGATATGATAGTTTACATCAATGACCCAAAGAACTCTACCAGGGAACTCTTACAGCTGATTAACACCTTCAGCAAAGTGGCAGGTTACAAGATCAACTCAAGAAAGTCAGTAGCCCTACTATATACAGATGAAAAGAGGGCTGAAAGAGAAATCAGAGAAACATCACCCTTTACAATTGCCACAAACAACATAAAATACCTTGGGGTAACGCTAACCAAACAAGTGAAAGACCTGTATCGTAAGAACTTTGAATCTTTAAAGAAAGAAATTAAAGAAGCCCTCAGAAAATGGAAAGATCTCCCATGCTCTTGGATAGGTAGGATCAATGTAGTAAAAATGGCAATCCTGCCAAAAGCAATCTACAGATTCAATGCTATCCCCATTAAAATCCCAGCACAATTCTTCACAGACCTTGAAAGAACAATAATCAATTTTGTATGGAAAAACAAAAGACCCAGGATAGCCAAAACAACCCTGTTCAACAAGGCAACGTCCGGAGGCATCACTATCCCTGACCTCAAGCTCTATTATAGAGCTATAGTCCTGAAAACAGCTTGGTATTGGCACAAAAATAGACAGGCAGACCAATGGAATCGAATTGAAAATCCGGGTATTAACCCACACACGTACGAACATCTGATCTTTGACAAAGAACCTAAAAATATACAATGGAATAAAGAAAGCATTTTCAACAAATGGTGCTGGCATAATTGGAGACTGGCATGTAGAAAAATGCGGATCGATCCATGTTTATCGCCATGCACAAAACTTAAGTCCAAATGGATCAAAGACCTCAACATAAATCCAGCCACACTGAACCTCTTAGAAGAGAAAGTGGGTGGTACCCTTGAAAGAATTGGTACAGGAGACAGCTTCCTGAACATAACACCAGTAGCACAGACAGTGAGATCAACAATTAATAAATGGGACCTACTGAAACTGAGAAGCTTCTGTAAGGCAAAGGATACAGTCAGCAAGACAAAAAGGCAGCCCACAGAATGGGAAAAATATTCACTAATCCCACATCTGACAGAGGGTTGATCTCCAAAATTTACAAAGAACTCAAGAAGCAAGTCTCCAAAACAGCAAAGGACCCAATTAAGAAGTGGGCTGCAGAACTAAATAGAGAGTTTTCAATAGAGGAGTCTAAAATGGCTGAGATGCACTTGAGAAAGTGTTCAACATCCTTAGCCATCCGGGAAATGCAAATCAAAGCAACTCTGAGATACCATCTCACTCCTGTCAGAATGGCTAAAATCAAAAACACCAATGACAATTTATGCTGGAGAGGATGTGGTGAAAGGGGGACACTCCTCCATTGCTGGTGGGAGTGCCAACTGGTTCAGCCACTTTGGAAATCAGTATGGAGATTCCTCAGAAAAATGGGAATAAACCTACCACAAGACCCAGCAACTGCACTCTTAGGCATATATCCAAAAGATGCCCATTCATATAACAAAGATGTCTGTTCCACTATGTTCATAGCAGCTTTATTTGTAATAGCCAGAACTTGGAAGCAACCTAGATGTCCCTCACCCGAAGAATGGATAGAGAAAATGTGGTACATCTACACAATGGAGTACTATTCAGCAGAAAAAAATAATGGAATCATGAGATTCGCAGGCAAATGGATGACACTAGAAGAATCCATCCTGAGTGAGGCAACACAGTCACAAAAAGAGAAACATGGCATGTACTCTCTCATATATGGATTTTAGACATAGATCTGGGGAGTTCCAGCCTACAATCCTATCGCCAGAGAGTCTGGGAAACAGAAACTTCATTTACTGGCTGGTTTAGTACTGAGCTGAACTCAAGAAAGCCAGTATCAGAGAGGGAGGACTGATGATCAAAGGGATTAAGACTGGGCTGGTTGAACCCCCAGAAACAGCTGACCAGACAAAGGTTAACTCTTGAATCCCAGGCATCAGCCTGGGAATCCAGCATGGGACTGATCAAGACCCCCTGAATCTGGGTGTCAGTGAGGAGGCCTAGGTAATCTATTGAGCCTTGGACAGCAGATCAGTACCCATCCCAAGTATACACACGGTCTCTGGACTCCCATAGAACAATGTGAGGTGCACTCTCACCCTGAACTCTTGGGGAAGGGTCTAGGCCCTGCCCTATATTAAATGACAGACTATGGACACCCCCATGGAGGGCCCCACCCTCCCTGGGGGAATGAGGGGATAACGGGGGGGGGATGGGGGGGAGGGCACGGGAGGAGGGGAGGGAAAGGGAGAGGGACCTCGTACTGACTTGTGAAGCAACCTTGTTTCTTATCTAAATTTAAAATGGAAAATAAAAAAAATATTAATAAAAAAAATAACCATCCATTTTCAGACTAGATTTAAGGTCCACTCTGTAACATGGAATTTATGCTTGGTAAAATAAACTTGGCCAAAATCCCACTGCTGGTCATAAGCTCTAGGAGAAAACCTAATACTACAGTTCTGCTAAATGAGCATAACATTAAACTACACCATAAGTTTTTAACTCTATATCCCTATATCAGTGTGTCTCTCAACCCTCATCATAGAAGCATCTTTTTGTAGTACATGTAAATTAACCCAGATATTTACAAATGAACAAAGGGTGGAGAATAAGAACTTTTGGAGTGCTTACTGTAAAAGATATATGTATGTCCCACCCCTCCTTTCAAGTCTCAGAGAGCATGGCCAAAATGGGGAGGAAAAATTGTAAGACGTGCTTAAGATTAAAAAACTGATGAGTGGCTGGGTGGTGGTGGTGCATACGCCTTTAATCCCAGCACTCGGGAGGCAGAGGCACGTGGATCTCTGTGAGTTCGAGGCTAGGCTGGACCGACAGCCTCCAAAACAATACAGAGAAACCCTGTCTCATAAAACCAAAAAAAAAAAAAAAAACTGATGAGTGGTGAAATAATAGCTACAAATAAAATTTCAAATCCAATGAATGTAACAAAGAAGAAATTTAAAATCCCACAATACTTTAAAATAAAACTAGTGAATCAGAATTAAACTGTATTTACAGAATCCAGCATGGGACTGATCAAGACCCCCTGAATCTGGGTGTCAGTGAGGAGGCCTAGGGAACCTATTGAGCCTTGGGCAGCAGATCAGTACCCATCCCAAGTATACACACGGACTTTGGACTCCCATAGAACAATGTGAGGTGCACTCTCACCCTGAACTCTTGGGGAAGGTCTAGGCCCTGCCCTATATGAAATGACAGACTATGGAGACCCCCATGGAGGGCCTCACCCTCCCTGGGGGAATGAGTGGATAACGGGGGGGGGGAGGTTTGGGGGGAGGGCACGGGAGGAGGGGAGGGAATGAGAGAGGGACCTGGAACTTTCTTGTGAAGCAACCTTGTTTCTTATCTAAATTTAAACTGGAAAATAAAATATAAAAAAAGTAAAAATAAATAAATAAATAAATATACACACACACACACAAAATCAGTAGCCCTATTATATACAGATGACAAAAGGGCTGAGAAAGAAATCAGAGAAACATCACCCTTTACAATTGCCCAAACAACATAAAATACCTTGAGGTAATGCTAACCAAACAAGTGAAAGACCTGTATCACAAGAACTTTGAATCTTTGCTTTTTTTTTTAAACTGGCTCAAAACTGTATGGTTTATTCAAACAGTGAATCATAAAGCCACTGATTTATTCCAAGCTTTTACAATATATCAAAGTATTTTAGTATGTACTATTCATAAGGTAGAATACAGAATTCAGTAACTGTCAATGTTATTTAAATTACTAAAAAGAAAGACTAGAAAGAAATAAACTAGAACACTGACATCAGTCATCTCTGTTCCTAATGTTTTCTTGACTTCTTCAATGAGCTCCTTAGTCAGCAAAATGACACACTCTGTTTTTGTTGATTAAATCTAACAGGTACGTTCAAGACTCATTTACAGTTAGCTCCTGAGCAACATAAAAACTCAACTGTGAATACTAAAGCTAATTTTACTTCCTGGTTACATTTTATTTCCCTGATATTAGGACATATAATTTAAGAAACAATCAAAAGGAAACAAAAACTTGAATGACAATGAATTTTATAAATACATACATATACATAAAGCTAGAAAGAGGTCTATAAAAATGATGACAGGAATTATTACTAGTAAAATTTTATGGCTTTTAAGTATCTATTTAGCTTAATTTTTATTATATGTTCTACAATGAACATGTTGCTTTCATAATAATAAAAAAATGTTGGCCATCTTCTTAAAAAATAACTGCCAAGCAGATTACAGTATATGTATCAATGGACTATTAAAATGTTATAGAAGACATTTACTAATATGAAAGAAATTTTGATGTTAGTAGCTGACCACAGATCAGACAGTATGCTCAAAATGATCCCAATGTCATTTAAAAACAAACAAAAGCCTTTGAGTACATAAAAAACACCTACATATGAAATGTACCAAAGCCTAGTGTTCAGGTGGTAGAATTGTACATATACATTTTAAGCCATTTCTGCATCGGTATTTTGGCCAATTTTCCTCTACTAAATATGATTTTTTTTCTAATACGCAAAAAAAAGCTTAAAAAAAATCTAGGTTAAACAAGAAGTTATCTTAAGTAACAGGAAAGATGCTGATGAGCACAGAAAGGTCCTCTTACCCACACCAGTGTCAGTCAACAGGACACTTGCCTTCCAGCATCATAGGAGCAGTCGGCAAAGGCCATTTTTCCTGCTCATACTTCACCATGCTAATCGGATCACTGCTCCCTCGGCAGAGGCCACGGCCAATGACAGCACCAGGAACCTGAAACCTTGTGTTTGTCCCTTTTGACAGTGCTGGGAGTCAGATATCTTGGGGCCCTGTATATGCCAGGTAAATGTTCACCACTGTGCCGCATTCCCAACCTTGTACAGAGCCTCTAAGTCAGACCTGGTAGAGAGGGATCTAGAGGGAAAAAAAGTAGAGCTGAATCTGATTACAAGTAAACATGATTTTCAATCAAGTGATTGTGGAAATGCACTATTTATATTGCACACAACACTCACTAGGGAAGTCTACCCTCAGACCTGGTAAAATTCTGAGGTCATCAGAAGACAATTTTCAAGACATTGCCTTCAAGAGTGCCCTGTCAATATTGACTAGAAACAGTATCAGAGATGTCACGCTAGAGAAGTAAACAGCTCAAGAGTCTAGCTTCCTGCTTATACAATCTGAAGTCACTTTACTGCTAGCCACAAAGTGAGTCAGTACTCTGATTCAGTCTGAGAATTTCTTGACTTTCCGTATACTAAATGAGACTACGAAGGACAGCTGTAAAGCCAGAAGACGCAGGAAGGACAGAAATAAATACCGACATGTGTCCTCCAGCCCAAACAATGAGATAGCTATGGAATTAGCTTATCAGTTCAATCTATTTCCAGATCGCTGTCTTCACTATGACAGGTGGCAGAGTTTCGCACAGATGTCAGCACCAAGACTTCCTTTTCTGGGAGTAATCCAAATTCCTGTAGGAAAGCTTCAAGGTCTACAGCAAAGAAATCTTCCCCCAGCTGGTCAGTGACACGAACAAAATTGCCAATCAATTCACCCGCCTTGTAGATGAGCAGAGCAGGAAGGGCATTCTGGGTAAAACGACTGCTGGCCCCAATAACCGAGCTCCTTACCCGGCAGAATTTGACAGCCGGGTACTCTGTGGCAAGGCAGATCATGCAGCCATTCATGGCTTCGGTCCCTGGGATGCCATCTTCATAAATATGAACCATGATAAGGGTGCTTTTTTGTTCTTTATCAATCATGTCTAAAAATCCTTCTCCACTGGGGATCTCAAAAACTTGCTTGAACTGGGGCCCTTTCTGAAACTGCTGCCGCATCTCTTCCATTCGCTGTTTCCGGTACTGCTGCAGAAACTCTTCGTCATCCAGGTTCTTGTCCATTGTAGCAAACTCCTTCAGAGTCATCTTCCCACTGATTTTCTCCTGGAGGGCCTTCTGTTTCTTTTGCTCCTCTTCTTCGTCTAGATTGGACCTGCACATCATAGACAGATTTTTGATCAGCCGCTCCATCTCCCGGCACTGCTCCTCCGTCTGCTCTGTCTCCAGCTGCTTGAAGTGGCGCCAGTCATTGATCACACCTTTTGGACCTGTATTGATTGAAATGCCTTCGCCGGCCAGCTCAGCCTCCACAGGTATGGAGCTGCTTGTCCGGGGCTCCGCTGCCTCTGTCTCCGTCTTCGTGGTCACTGTCCTCATCCTCGCTGGTGCTGTAGTAATACTGCAGCTTCTCCCCCAGCAGCTTATCATCCAGGGTTGTCATGGTGCCTGGAAGAGGGCGCCATATCAGGGAATTCTTTGCTGGCTTGAGCAAGGACATGAATCTGAACCATAGGAGGCGCACTTGTGCTGACACCCGACCCCCACAGTGTTTTCATAAGCGGAATTTCAAAAAAACCCAACCCTGCCTTCATGCCACAGTTTACCATGCTTCTGTTACAGAAAGCAAAACTGAGGCCTAGATCAAAAATATTTCTTTCCCAAGCTCAGCAACAAATCTGCTAACAGATCGTAGATGCCTGACTCTGGGAGCCTGGGAGGCATGCTCCTGTCTAACTGTGTGCATGGCTGGTAGTTTTCACTCATATGCACTTTCAGTTTTAAGATTTCTAGCTAACAAGCCAGGCGGTGGTGGCACACGCCTTTAATCCCAGCACTCGGGAGGCAGAGGCAGGCGGATCTCTGTGAGTTCGAGGCCGGGCTGGACCGATAGCCTCCAAAACAATACAGAGAAACCCTGTCTGGTTTAAAAAAAAAAGATTTCTAGCTAACAAACTGGGGAAGTCCTCAGGGAAAACATCAAAAGGGACCACCATGGGGATAGTGTTGAAGCTAAGTCGTTCACTCGCCTGCCTCACTAAGCCTGGACATAGCATCTCAAGCTGGACCAATGCTGACCAGCTAAAGCAAGTCTCCACACAAGATTCAAACAGTTACCAAATGTTACTGGGGGAATGAGGGGATAACGGGGGTGGGGTGGGGGGAGGGCACGGGAGGAGGGGAGGGAATGGGAGAGGGACCTGGAACTGACTTATGAAGCAACCTTGTTTCTTATCTAAATTTAAACTGGAAAATAAAATATAAAAAAACAAGAAAAAAAAATTCCAGTCAAAAATACATACATCAACTTCTAAGAACAAAAAAAAAAAAAAAAAAAGAAGCCCTCAGAAAGTGGAAAGATCTCCCATGCTCTTGGATAGGTAGGATCAATGTAGTAAAAATGGCAATCCTGCCAAAAGCAATCTACAGATTCAATGCAATCCCCATTAAAACACCAGCACAGCCAGGCGGTGGTGGCACATGCCTTTAATCCCAGCACTCCGGAGGCAGAGGCAGGCGGATCTCTGTGAGTTCGAGGCTGGGCTGGACCGATAGCCTCCAAAACAATACAGAGAAACCCTGTCTCAAACCCCCCCCCCCCCAAAAACAAAAACAAAAACAAACAAACAAACAAAACACCAGCACAATTCTTCACAGACCTTGAGAGAACAATAATCAATTTTGTATGGAAAAACAAAAGACCCAGGATAGCCAAAAAACCCTGTTCAACAAGGCAACGTCCGGAGGCATCACCATCCCTGACCTCAAGCTCTATTATAGAGCTATAGTCCTGAAAACAGCTTGGTGTTGGCATAAAAATAGACAGGTAGACCAATGGAATCGAACTGAAAACCCTGATATTAACCCACACATGTATGAATATCTGATCTTTGACTAAGAAGCTGAAAGTATACAATGGAATAAAGAAAGCATCTTCAACAAATGGTGCTGGCATAACTGCAGGCTGGCATGTAGAAGAATGGGGATCGATCCTTGTTTATCGCCATGCACAAAACTTAAGTCCATATGGATCAAAGACCTCAACATAAATCCAGCCACACTGAACTCTTACAAGAGAAAGTGGGTGGTACCCTTGAGCGAATTGGTACAGGAGACAGCTTCCTGAACATAACACCAGTAGCACAGACAGTGAGATCAACAATTAATAAATGGGACCTCCTGAAACTGAGAAGCTTCTGTAAGGCAAAGGACACTGTCAGCAAGACAAAAAGGCAGCCCACAGAATGGGAAAAAGTATTCACTAATCCCACATCTGACAGAGGGTTGATCTCCAAAATTTATAAAGAACTCAAGAAGCAAGTCTCCAAAACACCAAAGGCTCCAATTAAAAAGTGGGCTGCATAACTAAATAGAGAATTTTCAATAGAGGAGTCTAAAATGGCTAGGAGGCAATTGAGAAAGTGCTCGACATTCTTAGCCATCTGGGAAATGCAAGTCAAAACAACTCTGAGATACCATCTCACTCCTGTCAGAATGGCTAAAATCAAAAACACCAATGACAATTTATGCTGGAGAGGATGTGGTGAAAGGGGAACTCTCCTCCATTGCTGGTGGGAGTGCCAACTTGTTCAGCCACTTTGAAAATCAGTATGCAGATTTCAGAAAAATGGGAATAAACCTAACACAAGACCTAGCAACTCCACTCTTAGGCATATATCCAAAAGATGCCCATTCATACAACAAAGATGTCTGGTCCACTATGTTCATAGCAGCATTATTTGTAATAGCCAGAACTTGGAAGCAACCTAGATGCCCCTCAACTGAAAAGTGGATAAAGAAAATGTGGTAAATTTACACAATGGAGTACTATTCAGCAGAAAAAAAAACAATGGAATCCTGAGATTTGCAGGCAAATGGATGACACTAGAAGAAACCATCCTGAGTGAGGCAACACAGTCACAAAAAGAGAAACATGGCATGTACTTTCTCATATATGGATTTTAGATATAGATCTTGGGAGTTCCAGCCTGCAGTCCCATGGCCAGAGAGTCTGGGAAACAGAAACTTCATTCAGTGGCTGACAGAAGAAAATGCACACTCCCATGGCTAAGCACTGAGCTGAACTCAAGAAAGCCAGTGACAGAGAGGGAGGACTGATGACTAAAGGGATTAAGAATGGGCTGGTTTAACCCCCAGAAACAGCTGACCTGACAAGGGTTAACTCTTGAATCCCAGGCCGATGCTTTGGAATCCAGCATGGGACTGATCAAGACCCCCTTAATGTGGGTGTCAGTGAGGAGGCCTAGGTAATCTATTGAGCCTTGGGCAGTAGATCAGCATTCATCCGGAATATACACACGGACTTTGAACTCTCATCCAACAATGTGAGATGCACTCTTACCCTGAACTCTTTGGGGAGGGTCTATGCCCTGCCCTGGATGAAATGACAGACTATGGAGACCCCCATGGAAGGCCTCACCCTCCCTGGGAAAATGAGGGGATAATGGGGGGGGTGGTTGGGAGGAGGGCACGGGAAAAGGGGAAGGAAAGGGAGAGGGACCTGGAACTGACTTGTGAAGCAACCTTGTTTCTAATTTAATTTAAACTTAAAAATAAATAATCATAAAAAATCCAGCATCCCTTCATGATAAATGTCCTAGAGAAATCAGGGATAACAAGAACATACCTGAACATAAGAAAAGCAATATACAGTAAACCAACAGCTAACATCAAACTAAATGGAGAGAAACTCAACGCAATTCCTCTAATATCAGGAACAAGATAAGGCTGTCCACTCTCTTCATATCTGTTCAATACTGTACTTGAAGTTCTAGCTAGAGCAATAGGACAATAAAAGGATATCAAGGGGATACAAATAGGAAAATAAGAAGTCAAACTTTCACTATTTGCAGATGATATGATAGTTTACATAAGTGACCCGAGAGACTCTGCAAGGGAACTCCTAGAGCTGATAAACACCTTCAGCAAAGTGGCAGGATACAAGGTTTATGAAAAAAAATCAGTGGCCCTATTATATGCAGATGATAAAGTGGCTGAAAAAGAAATCAGAGAAACCTCACCCTTTACAATAGCCATAAACAGCATCAAATATCTGGGGATAATGTTAACCAAAGAAGTGAAAGACCTGTATATCAAGAACTTTGAGTCTCTAAAGAAAGAAATCAAAGAGGATACCAGAAAATGGAAAGATCTCCCATGCTCTGGGATTGGTAGGATCAACATAATAAAAATGGCAATCTTGCCAAAAGCAGTTTACAGATTCAATGCAATCCCTTCAAAATTCCATCACAATTCTTCACAGACCTTGAAAGAACAATAATCAACTTTATATGGAAAAACAAAAGGCACAGGGTAGCCAAAACAACCCTACACAATAAAGGAACTTCAGGAGGCATCACCATACCTGACTTCAAGCTCTATTATAGAGCTATAGTCCTGAAAACAGCTTGCTATTGGCACAAAAATAGACAGGTAGTCCAATGGAATCCAATTGAAAACCCTGATTTTAACCCACACACCTATGAATACTTGATTTTTGACAAAGAAGCTAAAACTATACAATGGATGAAAGAAAGCATCTTCAACAAATGGTGCTGGCATAAGTGGGTATTGGCATGCAGAAGACTGCAGATAGATCCATGTCTATCGCCTTGCACAAAACTTGATCACTAATTTTGAAAACTGCCCCTCAGTCTTACCTACAGCTGCGTTTTATGGGGGCATTTTCTCAGTTGAGGATCACTCCTTCTGTTGACTCTAGCTTGTGTCAAATACTCATAAATCTAGCTAGCAGAGGTGCCCATGTAGTCTTAAACTTCCTGGAAGAAAGAAGTGCACACGGACTCCCAAACTCTTATACTTGTATACACGAGTGTGGGTGTGTGGGAACCTTGCAGATGTGCTCAACCCCTCCAGCACATGTATATAGTCTTACCATAGATCTGCCAAACATGTACACATATTCATGCATGAAGTGCATGTTCATGGGCACGCAGACATTTGCACATCCACTCATGTGTCCTCACACACTTGTATGTGAACCATTATCTGTCATGCAAACCCACACAGACACACTTGCTTCTGATTTTTACTTGCGTAGTTGTTTATTTTATTTGAACTTAGGCTCCCACGAGCTGTGATCCATGTGCCTCTGTACATTTTACATACCTGGGTACAGGCCCTGACACACAGGCCCCTCAACCATACCCCCAGCTGTAGGCCACAAGCCAACAAGAGGCCCTTCTGATAGCATATCCCAGCCCTCACCACTGCAGTCTGGCACTCACAGCAGGCTGAGGATCTCCATGGGGCAGCCAACTGTTTGGTGTCTCTGAAGAGCCAGCTCAGTGCTTATGGTGCTACGTGTTAGTGTCATGATTAGACAGTCAGTGAGATTAGGCTCACTGTCATATCAGTGCTTGGAGAGCTGAGGCAGCCAACCTCCACATGGACCTCACTGCAG